TTTTAAAGCGGAAAAACTCGGAATGAACACACTTTCGAAATGAGTAATGCGTCAAGCGGGAAATATCTCAAAAGCAGCAAAAATACGAACACATTTACCTATTTAGGCACACAGTAACATGAGAGATTTTGCATTTTCCAACCGATTATAAAAAAGTGGAAAAAAGACTAAATGAAAAATTACTGCTTCAGCCATTACAAGTACACCGTCACTGAATGCTGCTCGCCTATGAACAAAAGCCTTCTCAAAAAGGCAAAAGGTTAACCGAAAAGCAGCGCAACAGGATATTTATTAACCTAACAGACGGGGCTCGACGATGCGGCAACTTGGTGTGGCCAGAAAAATAAAATAGGCGCCCAAAACACACTAACAAACGGAGGCAACATAGCATACATATAACATCTTATACAAGTGTGTGTGCATTTGTATCTGTGTGAATAAGTAACTATTGCATTTTTGGTGAATGACTATGACTACGCTTTCTGTTTTCACGACACCGAAGTGCCATGCGTGCATGTGTTTGTTGCACACTTGCGTATATGAATATGTATGGGTCGGTGTGTGTGTGTGGCATTGAGTGTCGAGCAAAGTTGTTTACTGAACTTACAGTATACCGTCGAACACACTACTTTGGGGGCATGGTGGTTATGCAACATAAACAATTTAAGAGCACTTAACACGCCGGCGATGGCGTTGGCGTTGGCACTTTGCATTGGCGGAAGCAGGAGAAACGAGGAAAAGACACCCAAAGTCTGTTGTACATTTTCACACGTCCGTATGTATGGTTGAGCGAAAGTATAAGTAAATATATACGAATGCGTGTGAGTTATATAGGCGTAAATTTGCCTTAGGCTTGAGATGTATTTTGGCATATCCCTATACATATACATATGTATCTATATAGACCCACAAGTGCGCTTTCAAAGGTCTGCTTATTTACGCATATGTATGTGTATTGGTATATTTGCTGTGATGTTAGGGAGGGGTAATCTTTATTAGAATTACAAAAGAGGGAATCGATGGATGGCACCAATAACATGTTATAACGGTAAAACGTGTTTATTACAAGATCTCGCTCCAGTTAGAAATATTTAGTAATAAGTGTAAGGGATTTACAGTTTCCAATAACCTCCTAGATGGGTCCGGAGTTAAATTGTTCCCGAAAGTCAAAGAAACGGATACATACGTTTTGCATAAAAACGCTCTACAGTTAAAATAAAGCACAGAACTAGTTTAAAAAAAAAAAAAAAAAAAATATTTGGGGATTAAAATATATTTTATTGCTAAACTTAAATAATAATTTTTCCATCTATGCGGCTGCTATGCTCGAGTTGGTAAAATCCAGTTACCTCTAAAAGAAATTTTGGGAATGGAACCAAGCACTGAACTATTCGTAAAGTTTATTTATGATTGAATTTCCTTGAAATCCGGTACGTACGTGGCATTTGGTTTAGATGAGTAGGAAATTTACTATTCTCTCCCGGAAGTGGAACTGGGACTGGTCTATTCAAAAAGTCGGACTATTCCTCTTACAGATATTGCAAGTTCTGTGCATGATCGTTTTGCTCGTTCCACTTCACAACATCAAATGTCGCTAATGCAAGTGTACGGTGATTTTTCGAAAAACAAAATTTTTTCAGCGACGAGGAATATTTCTCACTCGCTGGAGGCGTAAAATAATTGAAGAGAGTCAGTAAAACTCGACTCGACACGACAATATGAGGTTTCGACAAGGGAGAAATCTCACAGTCCCGTAGTCTTTCGCCTGAACGATGAAAGACCATCATTCGACAATTTATGGCTGATATACCACCCAATATGTGCCACAAAGTGGTCGAAAATTACCTTAAACGGATCGAAATTTGCAAGAATTTAGCAAGGCGATCATTTGACTAAAGTAGTTTTTCACATATAAAATACCAAATTTCAATATTAATTATAATTTCATTATTTATAAATATTTCCTACTCATCTCTCATAACAATTATTTTGCATACATTTTATAAAACGTTTTTGCCAATTTTCCACAACAAACTTTCTCACAATGGACAACAATGAATGTCTGTATCAAGCTAATATTTATGCGTTTTTGTGAAATGTAGCAAATAATTTGAAATTCAATATATTTTATATAAAATTGGTTACAAATGCACAAATAGTTCGGCAACGTGCCAAAATACTATTGCAGTTGAAAAGAAAAAAAAAAAAAAGAAAAAAAAGCTTCACAAATATTTTTGTTAAGAATAAGTGGCCCTTTCCTGCAACATTTCAGACAACTTTGTGCGTACATATATAAAACCACATACATACGAGTATGTATGCACTTATATGTAGATACGAGAATATGCTGGCCATCCATTTTACAAAGGGAAAAAGATGAAATATCTGTACTCAAAAAGTTTGAAAAGAAAAAATTGAAAGGAAAGTAAAACTTGCAGTCACGCTTGGTTGAGTATGAAATGAAAAATTATTGAATTGCATAAACATGAAGGTTTTCTCTTCCATGAAGTTCCTTTTAAGCAGTAGCAACAATAACCTGTACATATTTTATGTATATTATTGGTTTACACTCGTACATGTTTCTGCAAGTAATTCGCAAAAAAAGAATGTTTGTATAAAAAATAAGTTGAGAATATATATATTATTTTCAAAACATATTGATCTGCATAGCTATGGGCATATTGATTTAGTTTTGAAGTGATCCGCTCAATTTAGTCTTATTTTTTAGACATATGTATTTTCCTCGGTACGCCAGTGCGTATACGTAACAAAAAAAAGTACTTTGAAAATTTCTCAGCATTTAAATTTTAAATTGACAGAAATGAGCTGAGAACAAAAACTTTATTTATATTTTTTTATCAATATATTACTAACACGGAAGTTTACGGCTATATCTCTTTGGCCTTAAACGAATAGATAAAATATTAAATTTGGTAAACTTGAAATAAATAAAACTATTCATTTGTTAATTTTTTTTTGCTCTCCATTGTAGATATATTTTATGTGTATTCGTATACATCATATGCTTGCATATGTATACATTTGTGAAAGTAATTTTTTCATCTCAATGCGCAGTTTAGTCATTTTGAATGCCAACAATTGACAGTGACGAAGGTTGTTGCATAATTTTTTTTAATATATTTTGTGAATGAATGGACAGCTATTAAAAGAAAACAAATCATATGTGTTTAGTAAAAAGAGTTAAAAAAGAGGCATGACATAACATTTTCATTCCTACAAATATTTGGGTTTCAATTCGATTCGAGTCTGATTGGAATTTTCTTATTATAGGCTATTTGTAATTTTTCGGTTTGGTCGTTCTACACTGATGTAAAAAAATATTTGAGGATCATTTTTTTTAGTTTATAAAAACAGTATTTTTTACTCTTCTCATTCAATCTTTTTTTATTCTGTTCTGGTAAACATACAGGGACGACAGCGGTAAAGAAAACGAATAGTAAACTGTTCTAAAAGATTGAGCTGCGCATACTTTCAATAAATTCACTCTCGAAGTTAATCGTGCTTAGTCTCGCACTCATTTTCATATTTTAATTACGTATACGCACTGTTGTGCCATGAAATGTTGCTATTTCAACATAAATATATCAATTTAATAGTAATAAAATACTTAAGAAAAATAAAAACTTAAAACATATATTAGTATATAGTACAAAGAAATCCATTATTTTTCCAATTGATGGCGTTATTTATCTGTATCTCGCGTTATTTAAGTCCGATCGGATTCCGCAGATTTGTGATTGGTTGATTCAGTTTTGTTTGAGCTTGCGTTAAAGATGGACACTAGCAAAGAGAAAACACGCTATATTTGACAGCTTTTCTTCGATAAGAGCGGAAACGCAAGCTAGCCGCCTGAAAATGAGAATAGCGTTTATGGGCCTGACACTGTTACAGTCAACCATGCACAATTTCAGTTTCATTCCGGTAACTTTGATGTAAAAGATGCTTTACGGAGTGCCAATTGTCGAAAATGTCGATAAAGTCATGGACAATGTCGAGTGTGATCGTCATTTAAGCACTGTTTCGATTGCCCAAGAGCTAAAGATTGCACAAAAAGCCGCTTGGAAAAATTTGAATAAGGCTGGATACGAAAATAAAAAATTATAGCATACAATTTCATGCGAAAATAATGGATTTCCTTTTACTACACCTAATATTTTTCACAATTTTCAAGTTTTTTTTTAACTTAATTTAATTTTAAAGAATTTATTTCCTTTTAAGTCATCTCAGGTTTCAACCAAACACACATTTTCTCAAAATTCTACAGACTCAATAATTTAACGAAAAATGCATTTCTACAACAAGAAGCAGATGGAAATTGCAAGTACGAAAATCAAAAGTTAAAAAATATTTGGAACAAGGAAATTTCGTAAAGAGCATGCTTTAATACACTTAAGTGCACATTTCATACAAACAAGCTACAAATATATTATGAATGTTGTCAGCAGTAATGGGAAAGGATATGCCGCAAGGGTGCACACAAACACGCATAAACTCACACGTAAGATGTTTACAAGCATATAAACAAAATCTATAATATCGTTGCGTATACAATAATATATTTTTTTATTATAGGAAATTGGAAAAATGTATGAGAAGTTTGGGAACTGGCAAACATTCATGCGTTTATTGAGTAGGTAGTGGAGGTAGTGGGGGTAGAGTCTGTGGTCAATATGCAAATAAAGTAAAACCTAAAATCAAAATATGGTGGGAGGCAGACGGGTTGGGTTCATCGGTTGGCTTGAGAACTAATGCATTTGCTATTTTATAAATATTCATGAAATTATAAATTTTTGTTAAAAGCATATCGTATTAATATTTGTTTGATATTGTTTGGTGTGTGGGTGGGTGTGTTGGTGTGTTTAGGTTGGAAATAGCGATACAAAGAACGTTTGACAGTAAGTGAAGGTGTGAGAAAGTAAATAGAGTATACGCACACAAAGAAAAACCATTCAAATTGATAAAATAATCTAAATTATTACCATATTCTAATCCGTGGTCGTAGTATTGGCCTAATTCGGGGGATAGTAAGTACGTATAACGATAAAAAAAACAAATGCGGTCGTTTAACGGTTTCCATTATTCACAATACATTTTCATGTATTTTTTTTTTTTTTTTTTTTTTTTTTTTTTTTTTTTTTTTTTGTTGATTTGTTGTTTGGTTTAATTTTTACGATTTCATTTTTTGCATTTGTTTTTTATTTGTATTTTTTTTTTCATTTCAGTTTTCATTTTCGTTTTGGTTGGCGAGTGAAAATAAGTAGGAAAAAGAAAGAAAAGTAGAAAGTATAGTAAATAAAATTATGCATGATTAATATAATTATTATTATTTTTTCATTGCAGGAAAGGTAGTTTGGATTTGTCGTTTATTTTTTGGGTTAGTAAATAAACTATATTTACACAAAAATTCATAATTTTTTTTTTTAGAATATTTGCTTATAAAAAAATTTGTGAGACAATAGGAAGGCGTAAAAGTATAATATATATATATGCAAATAAATGCAGGAAGTGGTGGGATTTATTTTATAGTGTGATTTAAAATGGGAGAAACGGACAAGAACTTTGTTTGGAAGTTGGGGCAACTACATTTAGAAATATGATTTTTTTATATTTAATTTTTTCTTTTTGTGTATGAAGTTAAAAACGGTTACTAAATAAACTTCAAATATTATATATTTTACAAACGTATATGTGTTTTCACAATTTTGGGTTGAAATTTTAAGATTTTCGTTCTGTAAGCATTAAAGATTAATAATAATAATAATATTTGTTGTATTTATGGGTTCAACGAATTGAATTACACCAATTATAGGAAAAATTATTTTATTCCAAATTGCTTTGGCGAAACAAAAAGCAAACTTAAAATTTTGTTTATAAATTTTTAAGTTTATTGTTAAACAGATTTTGTTAATACTTGAGGCCAGAATTATTTTATTCAGTCGTAAATGATTTTTTTTTTTTCGAATTTGCAAAATCTTTTTTTTTTTTTGTAGGTAGTTATGATTATTTTGAAGTTTTGTAAACTTTAAACACAAAATACATGTTTAGATGCTAAGTATGCAACTATTTTAACAAGTATGAGGCTTATAAAGCGAATGCCGAACGAATTTGACGATTTGCTTTTCTAAACTTAATTTATAAATCCGACTAGAATTGCATGAGCGTAGTTAAGACGCATGAAATAATTCAAACTTTTGGTATTTATTTCATCATCGTTGACATTTTTTTTTTTATTATTTTATTAAAATTTTTAATTAATTAAAAAAAAATGTATTTCTCATGAATCAAAGTTGTGAAAACACTTTTTTATGCGCAAATAACTGTTTCAAGGCATAACATAATTTATTTCTTTAAGTGATTTAGTGATTTTTTCTGCAAACCTCATCCCAATTTTATGCCTTGAAATACATAATTAATATTTCTTAATATTTGTCCTCCAGCCAAAACATCCTCAATTTTTACTCACTTTAGCGAATAACTATTTGTTGCATCCTGACGCACCACTAACGGTCGTTGACTAGCCGAGGTTGCTGCACCGCCTCCGCCACCTTGATGCACATTACCATTGGCGTTACTGTGGTCCTGTGTGGGTGTGGCCGGCGATGAGGTGGACGTTTGGCCGGGCTTCTTCTTTAGTGCCGACTTCAGAGGAACTGCATTTGGTTTTGGCTCTTTGGCTGGAATTTCCTCAACGCGCTGTGTATCGACATGATTGGGATGTAATGATTGTTGTTGCTGCCGCAACTGGAACATATACTCCTCGTCCGAGTCTAATTGATCATCATCCGGTTCTTGATCTATGCGAAAGCGAGTGAAAGGAGGTTTGTGAGCAAATGAAAAAAATATTTGAAAATTTAAAAAATATTTTAATTAAAAATGTATACTTGTCTTTAACAAAAATACTATATATATCTATCTTTCATTTGATGGGACATAAAATATGTATATGTGTGAAGAATTTTTATTTTTTATAAAGCCTAAAATAATGCATTATATTAAAAATATAAATAATAAAATCGTAATAAGGACTACAACAGAGATAATAAAAATTTAATTATACAAGAAAACGCGAAAAGTTACTTCGTATGCGTGTCCTTCGGCAAGGAAGTATTATTGTTGGCGCGTAAAAGAGTTACCCATAAAGCGAATACTCAGCCGTTATTAACACTTTAGCGGTAAAAGGTTTACGCGTACATTCAAGTTGTTCTTCTTACATAATGAAAAGCAACTTAACAAGTAATCATAAAAACCGGCGTTGGCAATGGCAGGATAATGAAATAATGACATACAATAAAAGCTTTAAACATTACTTGCGATGTGGGCGTAAGTAAATGCACAAGATACCGAATACTGATACAAGCAGTTAGCATGGAAAAGTTAGCATGGAGCACACAAACAAAATGGGGAATACTAAAATTTTCACGAGTCAGAAGGCAAAGTAGCGAAGTATATTTTTTACAGAATCATTTAAAAGGCTAAACAATAATTTTACAAGCCTAAATAATTAAACATTAATAATTCTAATTTGTTAATTATATAAAAATAAATTATAAATAAAATAAAATAAAACATAAAAATTCTGTATGAATTAAAACCAAATAAGTTAAATCAAAATATAATGAAAATAAAATAATGCAAAATGAAATAAATTGATGAAACAAATTGAAATATTTATATTTACATTGGTGGCTAAAACTAAAGCCACTAAAATTACTAAACCCATCAAAGACTCTTTAATTTGCCCATGTAAAATGTAGACATAAAATAACTGCGCATATCAAGTTAAGCTAGTTACCTTTATTAACTTTAACATTACAAAATAAAATCTTATCAAATTTATTTCGCAGGCTTCGCATTTTTCACATCTATAAAAATTAACTCATTAATGGCCTGGTCAAAACTAAAACAACTAAGCACCTTTTTAATTTTTTTCGTATAAAACGATAAGCAAATAATTTTAAATGTTAATAGTAAATAGCGTAACCGTTGTATTTTATCACCGCAGATGTCGTTCCATGGAACTAGTAAGCGATTGAAAATAGTGTGCTTGCTTGTTCCACGATCTCTTTTGATTTTCCAATCTATTATTCTCCAGAGGTTCTCAATAGATTTGAGGACTATTTTCACTTTGAGCCACTTCTAACCGATTGCGACGTGTGTTATTAAATTAAGGGCATATTCTCCCTTGTATACAAAAATCGATCCATTGTTTTTGTTATTTGATGAATTGGATCGACTATGTCTTATGAAAAGCAGCCCCAGACCATAATAGAACCTCCTCTATGCTTCACTGTGCCCTTGCAATACATGGAATCAAGGTCTTGTTTGCTGGTCGGCGTACAGTGACATTTTTTATGTCACAACCTTCAATACGATATTTCGATGCATCAGAAAATAAAATATTTCTCCGTTGTGAGGCATTCCAATGGGTATGCGCCTTAGCCAATGCTAGTCTGGCATGACGATTTTTCTCTCAGCAACTTTGTAGAAGTTGCATAAGGCTTTCTTTCAATTCTCGAATAATTTGTTGATCAGTTGCGATGTTTATCGAGGTCTGTCTCCACGGTATCCTATGTACGGTATTTACTGATCCACTTGCATTAAATCGACTTATTGTTCGCGAAGCCACTGATTTATTAATTGATAAGTTTGTGGATTTTTTTTTTTTTGTGTCACACCTTTTTTAAAATTACTTATCACTTTTTCTCTTAACGAAGAATTGGACTTAGGGATTTCTCGTCATTTTTATTTAATTTTTGTTCCAACGCAAATTGTTTGGTCCTACGCCACTGCAACGAAAACTCGAATAAAATGTTTGGCGTCAACCAAAACACTTATAGCAAAGCTAACGGTACTATTGAAATATTTTCGCCTACATATCCTGGTTTGAAATTGTTTGGTGTGCTGAGTTGCTTAGGTTTGACCGTCTAAAATGGGTGATGATCGTAAGAGGTTATATTAAAAAAAACTTCGCGTAATGTACAATAACTCTTCTTCATTTTCATAGGCAATATATAAGATAACTTTAGGAAAAACAATTTTCATTTATCTTCAATAATTTTAACACTATGAACAATAAGGCATTTTTATATTTTTGGTTTGTTTCGTTTTGGCCATCAGTGTATCTATATATAAATATTTTTTATAAAATAGAAGAAAATGCAGCTAAATATATACAAAAAGCTAAGAGAATTATTTAAAAATATAAACAAATAAAATAAGAAAAAAATCTTTGTGTTAAAGAAGAGTAAAAAAATTTATAGAAAAATAATACAAATTAAACTAATATAAAGTAAAACAATATTAAATAAAATAATTAACATAAACAATCATAGAAAAAGAAGGAAAAAATATTAAGATAAACTATAATAAATTAAAATAAAATAAAGCATTACAAAATAAAATGAATGCATAAAATAAAGACATGTAAATTAAATTAAGTTAAAATAAAAAGGTAAATACAATAAACTGAATAAAGTAATATAAACAAAAAGTGTAATAAAATGGAATAAATAAAATATTTTTGCAAAGAAAAATGTAGGATGAAAAATAATTTAAAGTAAAATGAAAAGAAAGGAAAATAAAATAACCTTTAATATAATATATTAATAATAATTTTTACAATGAACATTATAATTTTTCAAGCATTATAATTTTTTCCAATAAAAATATTAATTAAATTATTAAGTAAATCCAGAACTTCTAGGCACAAGGGTTATTGTATAAAATAAATACTAATAGATGAAGTATTTATGTGATAACGTTCAATGATTCTGCGTCACTGTGCCAAAATAAATACTGTTAACAAAATATTTCCACGTTAAAAACGCTTAACAACCACTTTAAATTGTTTCAAGTAACCACTTCACCTATCCAGTCGCTACTCTACAATAAATACTTGTCGCTATATAGTACATAACTATAACTTATGCTACATAAACAGATAGTACCGCATGCATGCCTACCATCATAATCGTAATCCTGATAACCTTGATCATTCATCGCACCCGGCCCATGTGGACGGCCAGCTATTAATGTTGGACTCGGTGTAGAGAACATGGGCGGCGGTGGGATTGGACCAATTTCGGATACTGGTATCGGTGGTTCTGGCAACTCGGAAAGTAAAACACCACCAGCGCCAACATTACCACGGCCATCACGACAATCACGTCCGTCACCACCACCACCACCGCCACCTTGGGCATTGGTCATTTTACCATCGGACGTGTATGGTGGTGGTGTGCTGCCAGGCGGTCCGCCTATAACATTATTCACGCCAGGGCCACCATCTGGATCTGTAGAGGTAGGGTAAAAAGGAGAAAAAAACAGAGTAGTTGATAAGCTTAGGGAAATGAATGATTATGAGACTAAAATACTAAAGTTTGTAAAATACAAAATTACATAGTAAATAGAGAAAATAAGTCAATATTTTAGCCTTAAGTAGTTCTAGTAATCAACTTTAGTCTAAAAATTCAAAATGTGATGTCATCGTTACATATGTTTTTAGATAAATATTTTTTATTGGTTGGAGAGGGCGTATGAGCAACTTACTTGTGTTGAATTACAAAATATCGATTTCTACACTCTAATTTAAGTATATCTAAAACATATAATGCAACTTTGACAGACAATGTTTATAGTAATAATATGTTAAGCTCATATTTAAATCTTTTATAATAAATTTATAAATTCACTCAAATTACAATAGAGCTCAAGTCACAAATAACCACTTAATTATACGCAGTATTGAAATTGCATTATACCAAATTAAAGCAAGCTCTAAGCCGCAGCTGGAATTATCCTTCGTTTGCCATAATTTTCCACAAACACCCACAAATTGTTTTTTTTTTTTGCAATTACTTTTCATCTTACAAAGAATTCGCTTCAGTTCCTTGAACATACAAGTATTATGTATTATGTAACTTGTTTAAACGAACTGCGAATTGTGTAGCAATAAAATGCTTGGCATATAGCAAAATGATTCATTCTCTCAACCGTGCATAATCGTTTTACTGCAATTTTATGGCTGAAAAATGTAAATAGTGCAGGCAATTTTCATAATTGAATTGCATATGCAGATACTCGCACATACCTAAGTATTCCACATACAGATGTAGATATGTATGTATTTAGCTGTGTAGGTGCATAAGCACTCGTATATGTATATATATGTGTATTTTCCAGTGCACGTTGTTGGGATTTTTATTCAATTTTATGCAAATATTTACAAGGCATACTAACTTCACATTTATTATTATTTTAATTAAAACAAAATTATAGTGATTAAATTTGATTAAAATGTATAACAAATATGAAATATCTGATTGCTGTAATTCAGTATTATAAAAAATTAGTTTTGAAATTTTAAACTGATTCCGAATTTCCTACAGCTTATATGAACTATTTTCAAATGATCCGGTCCAAAAGCGACCCGAAACCTATGGAGTTTTATAAAAAGGAATGCTGCACAAATAACTACTTGAAATTAACTCAAAAACTAGTTTCAAAATTGGTTTTCACAAAACAGTACCGACTATGTGACGTTTAAATTGGTGCGAAAGGGAATTCTTTTCGGATTAGAATTACTGTTACATTCTGACTACTCTCTGAATTAGTTCCATAGTGTTCCTTAAATAATTATATCTTATTCCCAAGCTAATTCTCAATGCGGCCCCAGTATTAAGATTAAAAATGATGACCAAGTAGACTTCTACCTTCGAAGTGAACTCAAAACTAAATAAAACTAATGCAAGGCTTACACCCAACCCAAAGCATTCTCTAAAAACCCGTAACCGCTTGTAATTAGCCATGAACTTCTAACGAATTAATTCATAAATAATACAAACGATAATTGGTTCAAAATTACTATAGAGTAGGTATAGGAATTTTGAACCAATTATATATTATTTATAACTTTATTTTTTAATTCTACAATCATGAAGAGCTTAATTAGTCGAAGAAGTGCAGTTCACGAAACGTATAGTCTGACAAATACTGATTTTGCTATGTTTTCTCGCAAAAAGAGAACAATAAGCTTTAAAAGTCATATTAATTCTAATATCATTGGGATATCTTTGGACTAAATATTTAGCGACTCAACGACCAGCTGGCTGAGTTAACGTATAATATTTTCAAACGGCTCTACTTTATTAGTCTCTTTTTTTCTAAACACTATCTGGATATAATAAGATGTATGAGTGTGCAATACTGCGCATATTGGTGTGGGTATAAATGTTGAGATTAGTTATAGAAAATATGCCATAAATTCTAATGAGACTTGGGCAGTGATGGCACAGATCACATAAAGTCGTTAATGTATTTTTTTTGTGGGCACGTCTATATTACAGTTTATAGAAACTAACAAATAAATATGTACAAATTTTGTTGTGAGTTCAAACGAGACTACTATTTATGTAGATTTTGGGGCAAGCTTGAATACCCAAAACAAAAACAGAAATCGAAACGGAAAAAGTTATAGTAACAAAAAATTGGTGGAGAAAGGAAGGAAGAAGGAAGTAGAAAGAGAACTTACAATGCTCATTATGATAACAAATGTTTATGCGACGTGACACTTGGTTGGTGCCGCCAAGGGTATTGGGACGTTCCAATTTAGAATTCTGTTTATGACCACCAACACCAACATGCTGATCACGAACGCCAGTGTTGCCACTATTTCCGTTGCCGTGTGTCACGTGTGCATGATGGGAGTGCGTGCCAACACCAGAAATTGAACTCTGGCCTAAGGGTTGCTCGGTATTGGGTGATAGTTTGCCAATACCACCACTACCGCCACCACCACCACCACCACCACCAACGTGTGGTGCATCAGTCTTGTCTTTTCGCGTTTCTGTTGAGTAAAAACAAAAAATACTCGATGAGTAACAAACGGGACTAATGAGTTGGTGGAGATGGTGGTGTGCGCTAAAATTTTACACGAGTTTCTATTTGAATATAATCTAAAATTTTTTACTTTTAAAAATTTTCAAGCACAATAATAATCAGGAGGGTAATTAACGATCAGTTAAACTAGTTAGATTTTTCTTTAATAAAATATTCAACACGAAACTCAATCACCTCTCCGGTCAATATCAAAGATTTTGCAAAGCATTCATAGACTCTTATTAAGAATATGTAATGAGATTAGGAGAAGAAATACGTAAAGAAATTATCCGCCAGATGACCCAAAAATTGTATGCACAATCTTAGGTGAATTCTGTGTCTATAGGGATTTTGAAAATAATGCTAACAGATGGAGTGATCCTCTAGTGTTGCCATCAGTGCTTGTTATTAACCGGAGTTGGTATTAATCGGATTTTGTGTTTGTGATACATTTGACGTTTCCCCTAGAAATTGGGAGGAAAATGTATTTACCTAAAAGCGTACGCGATAGACAGCGCTAGAGCGTATTTATTAGTTAAACGGACAATTGTTGCAGTTATATATTATAATAACGACAGATTAAAAGGAAGCATTTAAAATTAAGGGTAGGTGACTTAGGGCAATCTCACTAACAATATGAATCAGAACTCAGACAATACATTCGTAGCGAAAGGTGAATGTTTATGGCACATTTAAAATCACTTAAGTGAATTTTCGGCAAACTACTTTTGTCTGACCAAGATTTGAGCGTGTAGCTCCCCGCAAAGTTGCACAGACTGTTGCGCTTTCGGCTGTGGTTCACTTCGGACATTTTAGACCAATAACTTATGGTAAAAAATGTCTAAATGTATTTTATTTCTGGCTTAAAAATAATTAAAATATGGTTTAATGACAAATCCTTGTGGTCTCCAAAATATATTTCAAAAATTTTAAATAAATTATTTTCGTACCTTCCATTATTAATAATATTATATTAAGACATATATTTTCAGCCAAGCCTTATTATATTAGCTTCACTCATATCTTCGCTGTCTTCAAACAAATCGTGAGATGTGTTGAGTAACCCCACGTCCATACAGGCAATCAGCGATTGCCAACTAACTGTCAATGATTGTCAATTTTTCTATGTGTAAGCTGGCGTCAACCAAGCATGTTTGCTGCATTAAAGCTGTTAAACATTTAGAAATACTAAAAAAGAGGAGCCGTTTTTCGTCTTTTAAAGACTTCATTGTCATTTAATCTTATAATATCAATGAGGTTGCCAACAGCAAGCTTTCACGCAAATGAAATTTTTGCTGACAAAGTGAAATTGCGCCAGTTGATTGCAAGCAATAGATGTCAGGCAATAAGCTCTGCCATAAATTGATGGCCATTGGCGATTGTCTGTCTCCACATCAAAAAGGGGGTAAAATAAACCCCCCACACTCCGTCACTATGAAAAAACTGTCATCTGTCATTTGGAATTTTACGAGTATGTGTGTGTTTCATTTCACTTATTTCTCCTCCACACAGCGCTGCAAAAAAGTGTTAGCGAGACTGACCAATAATTATGACTATCATCAACGCTACTCCGCCACAACTGACCAGCATTACATCGTAACTTTTCATTTATCACTTTCAAATTATGTTGTGGTTGAATTGTAAAGCGGAAGGATGTGAGTGGAGGAGAATGCATATTAAGTAATCGCGTACATATGTAAGTACAGCGTGTGTGGGCGTCTGCTCGTGTGCTATAAATGTCAAAACAGTATGCTACATCAATCACCTAATGTAGAGAGAATGAGAGTGGAGCTGCAGGGAATATATTTGATACATTCTTAGCTTAATGTATGTGTACATTACTGTGCACATGTGTAGATATGTATGTATGCATGTACTCACAAAGGATTAAATTCCATGTGAGTGATATAGTTTTAAAGAAAAATCACCAGCTTTAACTTAACGTCGCTGGAACTTGATGATTTTGATTAATAGATTTTAATGACTCAGAAGACTTTTTGCTATCAGAATTATTTTATAGAATTTTGACGTGTTAACTGTAAATGCTATATTTAAAAAAAAAATTCATATTTAATTTGTAATTTTAACGACATTTAGTTCACAGCAAAAATTTTAAAATATACTTAATATTGCCATTTGACTTCATTGCAACTAGTTAAAGACTAGAAACAATATTTCGAAACTCATATTTAAAAGAAATTATATGTTTATTTGTAAATATCCCCAATTCTCGAAGAGTTAACGACCGATTGACATTTTTTTTTATCAGATAGGTGGGTTTTTGCTCTCTCTCTCTCGGGGATGCCAGAGAGCTGCGCACTAATTCGAATAGCTTGTGTAAATGTACGATTCACTTGAAATTTGATGCAAAGTTATTGATGGTTAGTTTTAGTTAAATTTATGGATGATATGTCGAAGTGGGATACTTTTATTTCCTAAATATGGGCTAGAGATCTGGAACCTAGTTCGATTAACTTGTAGTATAAATAATAGTTTCTAAACGGGAATCAATCTTAGCTTTTCAACCTTTTTTCTCCCAATTGAAGATACATTCTCTAAGCTATCACATTGATCTATAAATAAATATTTATAAATGCAGAAAGAAAGCTCTACTTTTCGTAACTACTGCACCATGGTAAACCTGATTTATGAGAACTTTAACTTGTAATCATTTCAATTAATTTTTGAAGACTCTTGCCTCTTCTTCATAGTATAAAATTCTTTTTCGCATTGTTAGATTAAATTTAAAAATTTTTAAAAATGTAGAAAAGATTTAGTAAAACAACTCCAACCTATGTTACTAGTCAGAGACTAGTATATAAAAATTTAGTTTGAATGAAATTTGTTTTATATATTTTATTATTTCACTATTGAAGTTCTGAAATTTTTTCGAAAACCGTAAAATTATAACACAAGTTAAATGATAACATTTTCGCAATGCTCGTAGATATTATTATTATATATATATAAGCGCAGGAGCAGTCTTGCCATAAGCTTTCGTACATACATATACACATACACAGAAAGTTAAAATTGTGATCGTTTAAGAGCTCAGTTTAATCCACACCACAAAGTAATTACTTCATTGCCTAGCGGAACACTCACAGTGCACACACACATTATCGACGTTACGTAAGCACTTTACACACATACAGCTTAAGGCTATAAGATTTAAAACTGCGTCACCTGATTCGCAGATGGAAAACAACTTGACACATATACAACTGTGCACATGCATATAGCTCAATATGTGGTAATTATTTAATCGTCAGTTAGAATCAACAAAAAAAAAAAAAAAAAAAAAAAATCAAAAGAGGAATGAGGATAGAAGTAAAATCATGCACAGCACGTTTTGAAAGAGCAATAATTCCTTTTATCTTTCTATTTGCACAGTATAAATATTGGCCGCTAGGTGGCACATAGGTCGGCATAAATAGAATTCCTGTGTGTACTATGAAATACTGCATTCGTTAGGTGGTGCACAAGCCAAGTTTTTCAGAAAACCTCAATACTAATTTTGAGCAGCGTTTAAATTAATTCAAAATTTTATTATTAAAAATAATTGCTTATTTTTTTTTCAAGAGGCTTACATATTTATGTATACATTTAATAATTAAATGATATAAATACATTATTTATGTAGATTTTAATAAAAATATTTCAAACAAATTTTAAATTCATTTTCATTAATCACGTTAAGTAAAATTATCAATAATCTGTGAATAATTGAAATATTACGTTTTAAATATTTAAATTGCATTTAAGTGATTTGGTTTCATTTCTAAATTCTCGAGAAATTTTCGTAATTGAATTTGCAAAGCCACACAAATCTGCAAATAAAATGTGTGGCCACGAAGTTAGCGAAGTTAGAAGATAGCGAAATTTACAACTATGCACGTATGTACATATATACAGCAACTTTGCATAAAAGGTTATGGAATATTACAAAGTTAATTTAAAATTCCTCACTAATACTTGGATGGTTTCCTTCACATTTTTCTTGAAATTTCTGTATGACAAAATGTCAAAAAGTAAAAAAAAAAAACACATACATTTTTTTCTCTGTAGTCGTCTATCCGTCCATCAACCGTTTTGCGGCCCCAATTGTTTTAGTTGTGCCACGCAGCAAAACGTCGCTGACGGTGGTTAAAAAAGAAAGGAAAAATAATCTAATAAAAATGTAAATTTTCATGCGCCACAAGGGGGTAGATTAAGCTGCGGAAAAGTGTTCAAGCACTTTTCATTGTTTAAGAAATTAATTTTTAGAAAAATTGTTGATTTTACACACAATTTACTGGCATAATTGTAAAGTAAACACAATCAGCAGAGATTTACTTAGTAGCTATGATAATTTGCGGCAAGAGAATGGAAATGAGATTTTATTCATTTTGTACTTTTTTCTTTTGGAATCAGTTAAGAGGGGGAATTCTTTTTCGTTTCTCTTCTTTTTTATGCTAGTATATTAGGGTGCGCCTTGATACTCAAGTATTCTCATTGGACCATTTTGACTGAAAGCCATCAAAGCCACGTGTTCATATCAATTTTTTTACATATGTATATTTCATCTTTTCCTCAATTTCAGTGACTTTCACAAAATTTTTGTGTATATGCATAGGTATATATAGAATATCATATGCAAATTGAATAGTCTGATGATGTAATTCGTCAGCCACAGGAATTTGCAAATTTCAATCAGTTTTTTATACCATGGCATACTTTTAGGCGCACAAACACATTGTAGTGGTAAACCACGTTTACCCGCAATTTCAATTGCTTGCCAAAATTATTTGTTCTTTTTTTGCTTTTCCACCCAGAAAATTTATTTTAGCGGAATTTTTTTAGCTAAGCAGTATACAAATATTAAAGGAAATTTTAAATATGCGAAAAAGAGACTGGGTAATTAAATTACGCTTTCCCAGCTCTTTTTTTTAACTGTATTCCCTTAAAATTATAAGCATAATTTTTTCC